TTTGTATTATGAAAAATAGTTATTGTAGTTATGATAGAAAATAACAGAAAGAAGTATATAAGTAAATAACTACAGTTCTAATGAAAAACAGGAACTTAAAATGTTGATTAGGTGATCAACTATAGTCTTATTTGATGCCTTTCTCACCCAGGCTATATAAAGCACCTAAAATTTTTCTAGGTACCTTGTTCCAGAGCAGATGTCTTCAACAGCAGACAGCTCACTATGGTGGAAAAGAGATTGCTGATGAAATTTTTGACATTTTGTTTGGAATATGAACAGCACCCTGATGAATACCAAGGTAGTGTTTCATTGAGTAGCGTACACCTTCTTGTGTTGAGTTCGTTGCGTTATGCACAATCTTATGCTCTCCTGTGTTTTCACCCTATTCCTTTTAAGGATTAGTTTTCAAAGTATGCTTTGACCTTTTTCTGACCTTTCACTTCGATATTAAATTCTTCTACTTAAGCACTTTCACTTCTAATTCCCATAATATCATTAATTATTTACATTTTTCTTTAACAGCAAAATTACATATATAGCAGGGTTGCAAAATATTTTTGTCGTTTTTAGATTTTTTTTTCCCCCTCAGGAATTTTGTAATATGGTGTGGTGCACCTGATTTTCTTTACCTTCTTTGGATAATATGTAAATCTTATTTCACAGTATGTTGCCACAGAATTAGAAATGTTGAACATGGAGGAGTTAACTTCGTAGTTAAATTACATTTACTTTCAAAGTTGAAAATGCCTTTTAATTGCAGAGAGCAAGTGCCAAATGCCTTTATCGATTATTGAGTTATTTAGAGGGCACAAAATATGAATGAGTTTGAGCCACGTTATGCAAAGAATAGTGAGCATCAGGTCAAAGAAGAAAATTGGCTAATGGAAAGAAGGTGATGGAAACCTGCTCTCTGCCTTGGGTTTAAAAACGTAAGGGTACAGAGAATGGTGTGATGTTCTGAGTGCTTGGACTCTAATAGTAAACTAAGGCAAAAAATTATAAAATATAAAATCTGTCAAAAAGAAGTAATGAGAGCGGAGGAACGCTTAAACCATTAGTATAGGTTTCAGACTGAAGCATATCAGTGCTTTTGTGGATGATAATAATTTGGCTAGGGGATGCTTTCAAAAGAAGCAATTGTTAGTTACTGATACTGGTCTGGTCACTTGAGCTTAGAGCTGCCTTGGTATTATATGACCCTCAGGTTATATAGAAATAGCAGAGAAAATAATTTCAAACATATGCAAGAGAGAATTGATCAATAAAGACAGTGATCTGATAAGATTAGGAAGAAAAGAGTCTATGATGAACTTTAGGAGATCCTGAAGGGGAAAAACTCGTTAAGCTGGCTGGTTTATAGATTACAGGCAATTTGAGGTTTGCTGCTGATGGAAGAAATTGAGGTGCTGAGAGCAAGAATGTAGGTCATATTTAGAAAATTTATTAACTAAAAAAGGAGTCACCACGTCGATTTTAAATGAATTCATTGATTCATTTACCTAAGTGACATTAGATTTATTTATGTCCAGAGATAGTTGAACATATTTTGTTCCTACATTTTAAAGTAGCCAGGGAAATAATTGGGAATATTTTGAGTCAGGTTAGTCTAATTTAAAGACTTCAGAACTTTAGAATTGTGCCTGGTGAGATCATTGCATGCGTTAGGGATGACAGAGTTTTAACAGGGAGAGTTTATGATAGTGAAGAATTTTTTTTAAAGCTTTTTCTCTAAAAATTTGAGTTATATGAGAAGCCTAGAATGAGGAAAAATTTGAGGTTTTTTTAGAAAGACAATACAATAAAAGAAAATGTAATATATTTTATGACTTGCTGCATGGCTGCACAAAGGTAGTGAAGTACATTAGTAATAAAACAGTGGTTGAATCCCTAACAGAATATATGGCCTGATAATGTTAGTCACGGCATTGGATGGAAGTGCTTCTGAATTACTTTTGAATTTTCACATCACTGAAGTAAGCTTAAGAATAAATTTCTGAATGGTATGAAATACATTATTGCTTAAAACAATCTTTCCCTGAAAAAGAAAATTCAAGGTATATCAAGATAATTAAACTTACTGCAGTATTTCAGAGATGTATCAGTAACATGCAGCACTTGCATTAAATGTCTCCTGAAAAACTTCTGGTTTTCTGTAAATGTCAAAGTGCTTCAGTAGTAGTGTTAATTTTAAGAGGAAATAGGCTTCCTCATCTTTGTCTTTTTTTTGTCTTATCTCTACCTGTTTGTTGGGAAGGCAGTATTTTGAAATGTTTGAAATATATATTGCCCTTCTCATCTTTGGCATATGTGAATGGCTTATCTGCACATAAATGTGTGCTCTAACCACATAGGTATCAATTCAGTAGTACGCTTTTTGAATGGATGCTATGTTAAGTGGATGAGTAATCAGTTGTACCATCCCAAGGCACTTTAAAACGAATGGGTTTTTGTCTGCTGTGTGGCTGTTATTCCACATACTTTGGTAGAAAGTTAAATCTTAAACAAAAATAGTCAAATGATTGAGAAATGGGTGTGGGTCAAGTCTAACTTAGATGAAGCTATGTTTAGATGATGCTCAGCTACTCTGTAAAACTAAACAGCATATTTAAGTCTCATGTGGAGTTCACGTATAGTGGATTTGGGCTATTCCAAATATTTTGATGCAGTGATATTTCCGTTTTCTGAGAAAACGCCCTTTAATAGTAAATTGTTTAGCTTTCATTAACTTGAATTACCCATTTTCGATGCTGCGTATGTTGAAGATTTGAGTAGTTTTTTTTGTGATCACTTTTGTGTTTTTTTTTTTAATGCAAAAGTATTTCTTTAAGTTGAAGCACCTGAGAAAGTACAAGTGTTACACTATATCATTTACCTGAACTCATTTTTTTTTTCCTCAGATTACGAGAGCAGTACATTTGCTCAGTTCTTAAGAACACGGAAGTTAACACCCAGCTTGCAACACTTCATTCTTCACTCTATAGCAATGGTATCAGAGACTGATTGCAGCACCATTGAAGGTCTCCAGGCAACCAAAAAATTTCTTCAGTGCCTTGGCCGCTATGGCAATACGCCATTTTTGTTTCCTTTATATGGTCAAGGAGAGATTCCACAGTGTTTCTGCAGGTAAGCTTGTCTGTTCTAATATATATCTTCAAAAAAGGAAATCCTTGGTAACCTAATGCTGATAGAGCAAATCCTGCTGGCAGTTGCATTTTAGTTTTTTGTTTTGTATTTTCATTGACTATGAAATTCCCCCCAAAAATTAGCACTATCCTAGGAGACAAATAAATATTTTGTCGAGCAATGGTGCATTCAACATCATGGCATAACAAAACTATTGGTTATGCCATGTGGTTGATATGTGTATTCAGTTTTATTATTGTGTGAACTCGTATACAAACAGCAGCAGCCTCAAAGCAGGTAACAGTGTATCTGGAGTTAGAAAGCTTTTTTGACCATCCATAGGCAAATCTTGATGGCTTTTGTGGGGGTTTTTGTGTTTGCTTTTTGGATTCAAATCCAGGTTCAAAACTTGAATACAGAATAGATTCAAACTGGTAGTGAAAAGGACATGTGGTACAAATTTGCTTCTTTCAGGAAAAAATCAATTCATTATTAAACAAACCAAAAAAAGACTATGCAACGCTTTTATGTTACGATATAACAAACTGGCCCAAACTGGACAAATGATGTGAAATCATATTCTTATTCCCTAGGCATCGTTCTGTAGACCTGTGTCTATAGATCATAAGCTTCCAGCGTGACCTGAACAGCAATTGCATATAAGACATCATACACAGCAGCCATACACCACTTGAGCCCTAAAAAGTAATTAAAACAAAGAAAATCATTGATTCTCGGTTACAACAACTTCCATCTCGATCCCTTTACTTAAACTCTAGCTATAATATATATTATTAAATGCAACTCCAGAGACGTGCTAGGGGTTACAGTTCTTGTAGAGGAGTTGTTTTTAGTGGTTTTGGGGACCATCAAGAATACATGGGCAGAGAGTGGGTAGTTTTAATTTTCAGTTACTTCCAACTGTTCAACTGGCTTTTAAAAGGCTGAGGTTTTTTTTATCTTTGCTTTTGCTGGCAAGCAGCCTTTCCATCTGCTCTGTGTGGGTTTTTAATGTATTAACGTGTAGATTTGCAGTAGACGTTAGTTCTATTAAAAAAAAAAAAAAAAGCGGTATTAGACAACAAAATAGCCTCACAGTACATGAATGATATATTCGAATAAAAATATCAGTGCAAAGTCTTACTTGCTTTGTTCTTTTTTGGTGGGCAAATTTTTTTTACATGTGTGCTGCTGTTACAAAATTCTTGTTTGTAATATGCTGTTGGACATTCTCTTCCTGTCTTTTCTGTGTGATGGTTCTATTTTTCTTCTCTAGAACAACACTTACACTACTGCTAGAAGAATGGCCTTAGCAGCTTGGGCCTATCTGTCAGTATACAGGACGGATGCAAATATATGTTGATATAACCATTCTCGAATAATTATCACAGCCACTTTTTAGACACCCTTCATGAACTGGTTGGCACCAGTGACTGTCCTCATCATGGAAGGCCTTGATTTGGCATTAACATTTAATGAAGACCACATGGAATTGTCCTGTGTAGAGCTTCAGTGTTCATGTACATGGTTTACCTAATGTTTACATTATTTCATTAGACAACTAGGCATTATTCTTTACTATATTGAATACGAATGTTATTTAATAGCTTAATTGTTATGTATAACCTTTTATCTGTACCTTAAATTATTTTTATACGGAGATTTTTTTTAAATCTGGGATTATTAATTGGGCTCAGATAAATGATTTGTGAAGAAGAGTTGTTTTTAGGTAAATACTCAAGACACAGCCATACAACAGGATTTGTGCTCGTGGATTTTATGGAGGCCTTTCTATTTTCATAGGACGACATGTAGGACTAGAGATCTGCACATGACCAACAGATTAATAAATCAAAAGATTATATCAAACCATTATAGAAGCACCAGTTTTGCGATATGTCTCATTAGAGTTTCTTGGGTTTCAAATATATGAAATTTTTAAATAATTAGCTTTAGTGGTATAAAATAATTAAAATTAAAATTATAATTTTAATCTGAAGTAGATTCTTCTCAATATAGTTTGTTTTTCTTGCGTGATTGGAAGCACTTTGGCTTTATTTTGTTTAATAGCCAGCACAGGCAATTTTGTGATCTAGAAAAGCACTATATTTAAAGAGTTAGCAATACCGGTGTCTAGAAGTCTTGTAAATGTTCTTATCAGAAAACCTCTCTGTGATCACAGGAATTCTTCAGATTGACTAAACTTTCTGATTATGCCTGTTGATTGCAGCATTTAAAGGTTTTTTTGTTAAGTTGTAAATCTTGCAGGTAGCATAAGGAGAGTATTTTAACAGTTGAAGCAAATTACTCCGTCAAACCAAGAAGTAATTATGCTTTTAAAAGGTTCTTATTACAAAGCATTATAATAAAAATCTGAAATGTCTTTGTTTTTTTAAGTGAACCATTTAGTAGCAATCACTTTTTTTTTTTTTTTAAGATTAATTATAGTTATTATACATGGTCTGCTTTGGGTCTCACTAAAACTGAATGGTAGCCCATGAATACTGGTCAGACTGTATAGTAAAGTGGCAATGCCACAGCCTATACATCATACCCTACGGTTTTTATCACCAGGTTATCAGAGTAAAGTGTCACCTGTTCCGTGATTTCTAACCACCGTTCTATATTCTGTTTTAATGTAAACCTCTTAAGCGTTTCTTGCAGCCAGTTACACTGTGTGTTCTCATCAAGGCTACTGTTATAAATGGCATGCATGCATATTTATGTGAATGATTCAAAGACATTTGTAAGTCACATCCTTGCATTCTGAATGAATTCTGCATAAACAGTACAACATTTTATAACTGCTGAAGACACTTGAGTGAGTAAAAGCGGTGTTAGTTCTTTATTGGTTTAAACATGTATGGTTTAGGAGAGAAAATTAAACTTTTATATCACTGTAATGTACCTCCCAATATGTCGAGGTACAGATGTGAGATTTCAAACTCCATAAATCGAATTCAGGATACAACAAAGGTCATTGGAAACCTCACACTCCTCCAAGCTGACAAGCAGCAGAACTTTTACTGGCCTATGTAATAGCTTCTTTTGTTTCAAACTTGTTGATATGAAACTATTGCTTGTCTTCCTTTCTAATGAAGTAGTAATATTATGCTTAGTAGTAAATAAATACATCTCATTCCTAAGGAAAATCCCACCCAGCCTTTATGTTGGTATAGAAAATGTAAGATACCAAAAATTCACTGAAATATGTGCAAGAAGGCTAGGGAACTCAACACGCATTTTGCAACTTGCAGCAAAAATCTTTGTTGCAAATCGGTAAGACAGCTTTCATTTTCTTGAAAAAATGTCACTAAAGAGAAATTACAGTTAGTCGTCATTAGACTGCAAGACAGTGATGCAATATTCAGAATGTTCAGTGTATCTTTGATTTTTTTTATGGATTTAGGAAAAAATAAAATACCCAAAATGTCTTCTGATATAGGAGGTTAAATTTAAAACTGCCAACTTTCTGTTTCTCATTCGTAATCGGGGAAAAAAGAGATTTTATTTAGAAATCTAAAAGAAGTGTTGATCAGATATTTGGTTATTAATTCATTTATGAATGATAAGATGTGATTTAAGCTAAGTAAGAGAAGTCTAATAAGACAAATTTTTTTCTTACAGCTTTCGTACATTCTAAAAAAAAAAAAAATCCTCTTTTGTAGCTTGTATCTCTTTTCTTTCTCTCCGTTTCTTCAGAAACAGACAAATGTTTAATTTTTTTTTTGGAGTTGTAATATTTATATTAAAAAAAAAAAAAAAGCTCTTCCAAATATACAAGTATTTCACTTCTACCATTCACCTCAGTGAATTATGCATATTTTCAATTTTTCTTCAAGAGGAAGTCTTTCTAGAAATTGTCGGTTTTGAATCTCTTCACCCATGAGCAGTGTTGTTTAATGAGTAGGGCGAAGGATAGCTGGGAGAAGTCAGTTGTATGTTGTGGCCTCATTTACTTTTGTGACTTCTTTCAGCACTGAATTTTTGGCAAGACTCTGCCTAGTTCCGTTTGGTTTCAGGTTTTTTTCCTTTTTTCTTTTCAGATTATTACATTATTGCTTTCTGATGATCCAAGCGTGGACGGTCCTTTTTCAGAAGTAGTAGTGTTGTTTTTTCCTAGTTGAAGTTTTCGAGGGAGTTGGAGACTGTTTTGTGGACTGTTTTTGTCCCCTCGTAAAGATTCTGAGGGGTGACACACCTAGCCTTTTTTTTGCCTTTTCTTGTTAGAAGTCGTCCAAAAATTGACAGATGTGATTGTGGTAATTGGTGCTGAGGTAGAAGAAGATCTTCTGCCGCTTTGCGGTAGGAATTAGCAATTGACCAACTTTTATCTTCAGGCAGTTAATGACTAGCGTTTTGTATAAACAGTCTTTGAACTTGTACATCGTCTATGCATTTGGTGGGTAATGTAACTTTTTTGCAGTTGTTAGAGATTCTAACTGGAATTAGTTATTTTGTGCAATGACAGTATCAATTTTGTGAGGGTGGGAAGTTCTGATTAAGACAGGTCCTCCCTTTCAATTCCTCTATTTACTAGAAGATTAAGAATCCAGGCTGGGCTATGATATGTGACTGACTTGGAAGCTTCCTGTATATGTTTTGAAAATGGGTAGTCAGTTTTTACCCTTACGCTTGAGATGTTATCTGTTATGAATGTTGAAGCTTCAAAGGTTGTCTTAAATACTTGAATATTCTCCAGTTATGTCCCTGTTAGAGTCTCTAGGAAGCTTTCAGTGTTCCAAAATCCAAGATTACACTTCAGGAAACCTGGATGTAATATGCATTTAGAATTAATAAATAATTTAGCACAACATCTTTTTCATTTGAATCTAAATGAATGCTCCCTCTCTGTATGTAAGCAATATACGTAACTTTTCTGTGTGTTAATTATATGATCTGACATATTCATGAAAAATTCAAATAATGCTGTTAATTGTGTGTGGCTATCAGATATGTCAGCAACTAGCTTTAAGTCTTAGGGAGTCTTTAGTTTTATG